TTGTCTTCATAGATGGGGCAACTGCCAATCAATCAGAGAGAGAATTAATTAGCCTTTTTATTGTCAGGGCGCTCCATTCTGTAGGAGTGACTCTCTTCTGGAATCACCCTCCTTGTCCTCCTCCTCCCGCCTTCTCCTCACGCTCCTTCCTCCTCTCCCTGCCGCCTGGAGCCGGAGAGGAGGAGATGAGAAGCCCTTGTAGTTTTAAATTCAATGTGACAGTTTCGGAAAGAGCGGATGATGAATGCGAGAGCAGAAGCCGAGCGACTCCCCGCCGCGCCGCCGCGGCCGAGGGCCTCTGAAGAGCTCTCGAGCCGGGCGGGGGTCGTCCCGGCCGCCCCCACCGTCATTAAAGGCCCCTCTCAAACACTCGAAGAGATTTTCGCAGCCCGAGCAGGGCCCGACAACATTAAAAACACAGGGCGATTGAAATGGGCGCATTGAGATGCACGGAGCCGGCTGCGGCGCGGGCTCGCTCTTGAGGTCAAGTGACGGACGGATTGTATGCTTCTTCATAATAATATTAATTAAACAATTTGCATGCTAATAAGGTAACAATTATCAGGGCCTCTGTTGAAAGATTCAGGTTATTACAACACGCCAATCTGAAGGCCAGGGGTCAGAGAGTGAGAGGCGAGCGAAATTTCAACTCAAATTAACATTCTGTCAGCTCCAGAAAATGGGATAAATAAAGTCGAATTAATTCATTATAATAAAGAGAGATGGGCGAGGGAGCTCGGCCGGCGCCCGCCCCTCCTGTGCCCTCCCCTCGGGCCGAATTGATTACAGCTCTGTATTCAGAAACACGCGCCGCGCGCATTCCTCCTCGCGAACCCGACGGAAAACGAGGCGCTTATGGCTACCGGCAAAATCGAGTCGGATGGACAGAGTTTACATTTAGTATTTATAGAGAAAGAAATTAAATTATGGCGAAAAGTAGTGCTCTTGGCCCCTGACCTCGAAATTAATACTTGCAGCGTTCTCCCAGTGCGAATGGAAACAGGGCGCGCCGGGGAGGGGGCACCGGGGGCGTGCAGAGGTCCCCAATTTTAGGCCGCCTCCCCCTCTGTCCGGTATTTCGGGCCTGTCCCCCAGCCTCTGCACCTTTGCCTCCTCTCCAGCAAGGAGTGAAGACCGCGCTGTCCAGGGCCGGTCCCGCGCCCTTCAGTGAGGACCTGCACCGGGCCGTGGCTCCAGCCGCGGGGGCTGCCTCTAGTGTGGAGGCAGAAGCTGGCGCGGGCGGCGCGGCTTCGCCCCCTCCTCACTGCCAGCCTTCTCCCTCCCGGTCTGCCCGAGCGGTTCTGGGCGATCCTCCCCAGGCACGGAAACACACGCACAGGGCCAGGCACGAGACAGGGACGGACGCACGGACACGCACAGTTCTGTTCTGGCTTTCCCCTTCGCCCCCGCCCCCCTCGGGGCTTGGCGGCCTGGCCGAAGTCACTTACGGCAAAAGCCAATTTGTCACTCGCTTTGGTCTGGGGTGAGAGGCTACCGGCGGCGCCGCTGCCAGGCAGGACTGGCCCGACGAAGGTCCGGGAGCTGTCTTCCGCCCCGCCTCGGGCCTGGCCCAGGGCTCGGGACACTGCTGGAGAGGTGGCTGCAGTGCCGGGCCCGTGCATTTGGGGCCGCAGCAAAGTGGGGTCTCCCCATTGACAAACTTTTTTACAAAGAATATACGCACACACGCAGACACCGATTTCTGTCCCTTTTGCCCACAGTCCTAATTTGCTGCTTATTTAAGAATGTCCTTTAATGATTCAGCTTTGCGTCCATCAATATTTTATAGTGGAGAAGGGAGTGACACTTCTCTGAGAACATAATTTAATTATAATAAATGGGCTGCGTACTCCGTCCCCATTCTTCAGAGGCGGAATCAAAGCAAGGTGTATTGATTTTTGGATGCGTGTAAGTGGGGGCCTGACTTGCCACCACCCCAAAGTTTCTTACTTTTCCCTTCCTCTTCCCACCCCTCCCTCCTCTGCCCTGCGCCCAGCTTTAGGAGCCGGGGGGTAAGGTGGGGGTCTGGCGCCCCCTCAATCACCCCACCTTTGTCTTCATAGATGGGGCAACTGCCAATCAATCAGAGAGAGAATTAATTAGCCTTTTTATTGTCAGGGCGCTCCATTCTGTAGGAGTGACTCTCTTCTGGAATCACCCTCCTTGTCCTCCTCCTCCCGCCTTCTCCTCACGCTCCTTCCTCCTCTCCCTGCCGCCTGGAGCCGGAGAGGAGGAGATGAGAAGCCCTTGTAGTTTTAAATTCAATGTGACAGTTTCGGAAAGAGCGGATGATGAATCTCCTATTATTGGATCAGTCTATTTGCCGCTCAATGTCTCTCTGTAATTGGAGCAACATTACTTTAAAGGTTCAGAGAGTACAGCATTTCTGGTGAAAAATCCCCACAACACGCCGGTGAATGTTTTAAAGGGAAATCTATTAGTGATCTGCGGAGGGGCGGGGAGCCGGCGGCGGGGGGCGGCGCGGGCTCGGGCCGGCGGGGATCGGAGTGGGGGGCTCGCCGGGGGCCCCTGCCCGGGCCGCCGCCTGAACCCGCGCCTGCCCATCGCTGGGCGGCGCCCCTCCCTCCCCGCCCCCCCGTCTTGTTGTGACAGTTCCTGATACTGTTTATTGAGGTGCATGTCAGGTATAATTAGCAATCGATATGGAAAACGTTTCCCTGCACCCAGCACGCCTCTGACGTCAGAGCCGATTAGCGCTTCTTATTGGTCCCAAATTCCCCGGGCCGCGGCTAATTATCGGGAGCTTGATGTTGATAAGACAGCCAGCCCTTCAAGCTGTCAGGTAGGCGCGGCGGGCGGGAGGAGGACGGTTGAGGGGGCGGGGGACCTTTTCGGGCTGAGTCGGATGGCTAGCTGGCAGAACGTGAGCCGGCCGCCGAGGCTCCGGTCCCCTTCCCTCCGACGAAGGGCGCGCGGCAGCCTTCTCGGTGTCCCCAGGACCTGGGCGGCCAGCGGGAAACAGCAGGGGGTGGGGGTCGGGCCTGGGCCGGTGGCTGAGCCGCGCGGCGTCCCGTGCATGCCCGCAGACTCGGGGGACCCGGACAAGGAGAGTCCGGGCTGCAAGCGGCGGCGCACCCGCACCAACTTCACTGGCTGGCAGCTGGAGGAGCTGGAGAAGGCGTTCAACGAGAGCCACTATCCCGACGTGTTCATGCGCGAGGCGCTGGCGCTGCGCCTAGATCTGGTCGAGTCGCGAGTGCAGGTAAAGACCCGGCGTCCCGCCCAGATCCACCACCCCGCCACTGGGCCTGCGGAGCGCCGGACCCCGCCTTTGTTCTAGGTGGCGGGATCTCAGCCGCAGGTTACACCAGTCTGCTTCGCGCTCGCCTGCCGGGGGGCGGAGGAAGGGGAATTGGAGGGTTGGGGTGGGGGTAGCTCTGGGGCTCGGCCCCTAACGGAGAGGAAGGTGGGTAACCCCCCCCCAAAACCGAGCTGGCTTGGGAGGTGCCCGCGGCAGCACCCAAGTAGCCAAAACAGCGGCTGCGTCCGAACCGGGAAGCGGCGTCGTGAGTTCGCGGCGTTGGTGCGAAATGAGGTCTTCAGAGGGCTGCGCGGGGCAGGCGGCGAGGAGGAGCCGGTCGGGCTGGGTCTTGGAGGAGAGAGAGAGAGAAGGTGGACCCCGCGCCTCTGCGCTCTCGCGCCAGGCTCTCTCTCCCCTCAGCTTGGAGCGAACGGATCTGTTTACTTTTCGCCTGTGAAATATTCAGATGGAAACATGTATTTATTCATCACTTTGCAGAAGGGGACAGCTGAGGAAGGGGGTAGTGGAAACTTAAATAGTTAACACATTGTGAAAGTGGGGAAGGGAAAAAGGTGTCCGAATTTTTAATACCTCCGGTTTTATCTTTTTCTTTTTCCTCCCTCCCCCTTCCCCCCATTTGATTTCATTCCGACGCGGCCGGCGGTATTCTTAAAAAAAAAAAAAAAAAAAAAAAAAAAAATACAGCGTCAGTTTGGAGGATTAAAAATTCAAGATGATGTGTGCCTAATTAGATGTTTCCCTGGAGTACAGAAAAAAATTTTTTTGAGGTGGTGCATTGGTGGGTGCGGTGTGCAGCTGTGGGCGCCGGGCATTGAGGCAGACGCTGGCAAAACGCCTGTTTAGCACCAATAGCTTTGTCTAAAAAGGTATTTTCGTCCTGCGTTTGGGCCTCCCCTATGACCTCTTCTGTTTGGAAATCCTTTTATCCAATTTGTTCTAAGTGTCTTAAATGAAGTCAAGACCCCTTTATTTCTCCCCTAATACGATAATGAGTAATTCTTGGTGGCAAGGCAGCCTGAAATTCGCACCAAAAAAAAAAAAAAAAGATCGGTTATTGGGTGGGGGGTGGGGTGTCAGGGGCAGCCTGGGACCTCTCCGGGGACAAAGCTTCCTGCAGCCAGGCCGGGCCTGCTATTGTGCCGAGTGTCTATATGGCCACAACAAAGAATTCGAATTATCGCGCTCTCTAGGAGAGGGTAGTGCTGCCCGAGGCTCAGCGGGGCTTACCCGGGATTTGATTTGGTGTGTGAGGTGCTTAGCGGTGGAGGGTCTAGGGCTGCTCTTCCCCTGGAGTCCTTCATGGCTCCCCAGGACAAGGCCAGAGAAGGTAAAGGAGGCAGACTGTGCCGAGGTCTCTCCTCTGTGGGGCCTGGCAGCCAGCCTCCTACCTCCCCACCTGCCTTGCCCCGTGGCCCAGGCCATGAACAACTGGTTTGGGAAGGCTCTGATGGTGCCCTGGCCCGGAGCTTCCAGAAGGAAGGATGTGTGTAGATGTGTTGGGGGAGGGAGGCTACGCAAGGCCTACCCAAATTCGGCTTCCCAGGCCCTTCCGGACGAAGAAGCATCCAGATTTCCCTTCACGGGAAACTCCCAAATCTGGGCTTTGACAGTCTCCAGGGGTCCGAAGACAGGTGTGGAGGGCGGTCGCACCCGGCTGCAGCGGTCTTCCGGCAGGATGGTCAACGCCAGGCCGGGCGGGCTGCTTAGGACACGAACTATGAGAAGCCAGGAAGGGCGAGGAGGGGCCCTGCTCCCTGCCTCCCGACCAGGAACACAACACCCTCGGTCAGGGGCCAGACCTGCCTTGCCCAACAAGGAAGGGGCAGCTCCCAGGTCCCCGAGGTGAGAAGCCAGAGCGGGAAGCTGGCCGGGAGGCCCCATCTACACTTTTTTCGGGTGGAAAAGATGCTCGCTGGAACCTACAGCCCCAGTGCCAAAATCCAGCTCAGGGCCCGAGCCGCGTGGCCGGAGAGGAGGTCGTGCAGGCCTGTCTGGGGGATGGGGAGGCCCTCGGCCGCCGCCTGATTTTGCCTTCCTCTCCCCTATCCGGCTGCTCTAGGTGTGGTTCCAAAACCGCCGGGCCAAGTGGAGGAAGAAGGAGAACACCAAGAAGGGCCCGGGGCGGCCGGCGCACAACTCGCATCCGACCACGTGCAGCGGCGAGCCCATGGACCCCGAGGAGATCGCGCGGAAGGAACTGGAGAAGATGGAGAAGAAGAAACGCAAGCACGAGAAGAAGCTGCTGAAGAGCCAGAGCCGCCACCTGCACTCGCCCGGCGGCCTGTCCCTGCACAGCGCGCCGAGCTCCGACAGCGACAGCGGCGGCGGTGGCCTGTCCCCGGAGCCTCCCGAGCCGCCGCCGCCCGCCGCGGCGGCCAAGGGCCCTAGCGC